CTCAAAAAACCCGAACTATATGTTATACAACTCGGTGAACTTAGCACATCCTGAAAGTTTGAAGGAAATCAGTCCAAAACTGTGAGTTGGACAGGCGCAAAAAGAAAATTGAAATTTGACCATGACCTTGTACCGGTTTTTTGACCTGGTGACCTGACCCAAGGTCACCGGACCTGCAATTTTCAGGTCATATGTAAAAAGGTTGCCCATAGGCTGTGCCAAATTTGGCGGCGCTGCGGCCGCCGTTTTTACGCTATCTTCGAAAAACCTTAGGGGGGGGGGTCGCATCGACCCCCCCCCTGCCAGGGCGAGGGTTAAACCGTTTTCAGTGCTAGGTATATGGGCGAAGATGCGCCTTGTCGCTGAGAGCCCGCGCGCGGGGGCCCGGTGCGATTTGAACGAGGCGCGAGTTGCAGCGCGATGCGGCATTTCCCGGCGAACGGTTGAGCAGGCAAAGGTGCATTCCGGATCGGAAATTTCTTAGAAAATATTCTCACTCGGTTACGACCACGGTAGGTATGTCAAAGCTGCTGAGACTGAAGCAGCATTTCAGCGGCAATCGAAGAAAATCTGGGGTCTGATGGACACAAATGTTCCATCATCTTCATCAAGTTCAAATAAATGAATGACCGGCTGGTCCACGAGGGGTTCGTGGACACCACAATCAAGGCGACTTGCCCTAAGGGTCATTTCGCACTTCAACAGCACGGAGCGCCCTCCAACAATGCCGCTGCCGTCCTATCCAAACTGACAGAGGAGCTCGGCGGACCAGATCACCGTGGTGAAATGAGATTAGGCCATCTTATTATCCCAGCCTTAATCCGCTCGACTAAGGCATACTACGCGTTTTGCAGAATAAGCTCTAGGCCATCTCTCATCCCAGCCTGGAGTCAGGCGGCGGAACGGGGAGGGCACCGGGGCACCGTGCCCCCCTTTGATTTTGACTTTTTAACCCGCGCCCTGGTGGGGGGGGGGGGCTATTTTTTGCCCCCCCTCCAGACTTTTCGATATATCTCCAGAACCACTGCGCCGATCGTCACCAAACTTTCAGTACCCTCCCGGACATCAATTTTACACATTGTGACCAAAAATTTTTCCAAAGGCTATGATAGGTTGGCCGGAAATGACGTCAGAGTGACGTCATGTTCTGCCGCTTTCGACCCAAAAAAGGGTTTCGCGGGAAGAGCTGTCAGGCCTATAGCTTTGCAAATACAGAAAAATGATACAAACATAAAAGCTGTAAAATGGACAGGGCTACAAAACTGCTATCTCGGATTTTTGAAATTTTTGGATTTTGACCCCCAAAAATCAAAAAAAAGATTTTTTGAATATAATAGCCAAAAAATCCAAAAAGTTTTTTGAATTTCGAAAAAACCGGAATATATGTGATAGTCCTTATCGCCTTCTATCTACATACCAAATTTGAGATCGATACCTCTTTTTTTGGCCAAGTTATAGTGAAAAAACTGTTCAAAATTGATGACGTCAAATTTTCAAACTCGATTTTCAGCAATTCTAGACCTCGTAGCGCAAAACAAAGACCACCATTAGACTCCCCGTGACGAGCTGCATCGAATCAATACCCATTTTATGCAAAAATATCAACTTTGAAATTTGACCTTTTTTGACCTGACCTTGACCTGACCTCCACCAGAAAGTGACCTAAACCGTACCTGATGGTCTTATAACCAACACCATTGAGTTGGAAATGAAAAACTGGCCATAAAACATGCATCGCATAACCTTAGTAAAGTTGGGTTCATGTGGTGACCCTTGGTGACCTTTGGTGACCTGACCTGTGACCTGAACTGGTATGACCAGTGACCTCTAACAGCAACATATCTACTAGGCAACTGACGCCCTATCGCTGATTCCCGACAAAATGCGTTTTCCTCGGTGTTATAGCGCATTCCCTAGAAGACCCGTGAATGGTGAAACATTTCATCTTTGACCTGACCTGTGACGTCATCGGTGACCCCGAGGTCAATAAAATTTGGTTTCCTTCGACAAATTTGACAGGCCTTTCGAACGCCGTTTGAATTTTTCGGATCCGTCCAGTAGTTTCGGAGATACGAGGGGGGGCAAAAAATAGCCCCCCCCCCCCACCAGGTCGCGTTATAAACAGACCCCACCAGGGCGCGGGTTAACATTAGCCCTATGGGTGTTGCATGGAGAGAATGGGACCAAAAGTCGGCAGTGCCCCCCTTAATTGAAGGTGTTCCGCCGCTACTGCCTGGAGTCGCTGAAGACTCGCATCATGACACTTGACAGCATGGGAGGAAAGGAAATGTCCTGCATTGTCAAAACCCGCAGACGTTTCCACCCTTGCATCGCGGCCGTCGTCGGCACAGACGGTGGTTACAAGGAATGGGCACTTATAGCAGAAGCATGTGGCTTGGTGTTCCTGGTCATTGTTTTTTTCTATTGTTGAGTACCTATGGACCAAAGGCATTTATTTTAAAAATGTTGAAAAGCGCCAGGACTTCCGGACACCCTGTTGTAGACCTAGCATAGCGCGTTATATCATGACGCGGAATTTTGACAGCCACCACTGCCCTTTGTATCAGACCCGGAGTCGGAGTCGGAGTCGGAGTCGGTCAGAAGCCCGGAGTCGGAGTCGGAGTCGGAGTCGGAAGAGCACTACCACGACTCCGAAACTCTGATCTTATATACATAAGATCTTTATGTTGGTACTTACCTATCATAAGAAATATTAAAAAAAGATGTTTTATTCTCGAGTGCATTTATTTTGTCTTAATATTGTTCTGCCATTACTGTCCGCAAAAGAAATGTAGAAGCTCGGTATCAATCGCTGTTGAAAGCTTCGATACATCTGTAATGTTCGTTAACCAACATGTAAGATTACAAGGGTTGGTTATTGTGTAGTTTCTTTTTCCATCAGTTCGACAATTTTTCCCCCTTGAAGGGTGACCGTCAGCAAAAGGTGCACGACCTATGAATCACACGGCAGTACATCCAAAGGTCAATGTGCGCCCGCGGCGCGACACCCGCTGTCAGTTGTCACGTGGACTGGCCAGCTCTGTCCTGTCGGTGGCTTTGTGTCCGTGTCAGACGCCCACTGCCGATATAAGCCGGCTGTAGAACCAGCCGTATCACAGTGAGCTATCGGTATCCACACAAGTAGCTGAGATGCGTGCACTGCTGTTGGCATCTGCCGTTCTGTTGGCTATAGCCGTCTGGCTTCAAGCAGGTGAGTATTGAGTAACTTAAAGGGACTATCCCACCTTCTAAGATGTTGTTAAAACCAGTTAAATTGTGCCCGACTTTATAGATTGGATGACCAGGAACACGGTTCTGGCATTTATTTTTCATTAAACATCTTAGGCTTCCCATATTCCAAACACAAACTTTCAAATATGTGACGTCACAGCCCAAAATTACCTCCTTCCCCAGGCCACATTACTGTCATAGACATAGGCGCGGGAACTACTTTCAGACTGGGGGGGGGGGGGGGCACACCATAATGGAGATCAACCTAGGGTACCCCCAAATCTAGTTTTCTCACCGGTTTTAGGCCACTTATTTTTCATCCCTTGGCTTTTCAAGCAAAAAAGAACAAACATTTGCAAAAAAAGTGCGGTATTTCGTCTCAAAGTTGTGGGGGCACCGCCCCCACGGCCCTAGAGTTGGGGGGCAAGCTGCCCCCACTGCCCCCCCCCCCGCTCCCGCGCCTATGGTCATAGAACTGATTCTTTTTACTCTGTAGGCACCACAACAAAGTTCAGACCAAGTTTTAAGCGATTTTTCAACGAACAACCCCATTTAAATCAGAATGACTAAACGAGGTGACGTCACACTAACGGTCGCTCCATGTTGAAGATAGGGCCTTGTACAAGGCCCATTTTCAAATGAAGGGAACGAATTTCTTCAACACCAAGAGGCCGCGGGGGTTGCAACCTAGATAGATAGTGGTTTCTGAACCTCGCCGCAAACTTGGCTATCTCAACTCAAACCCCATGTTAAAGGTGGGATAGTCCCTTTAAGTACAGAACGGGACCAGTACCTAACTTAGCTATTAAAATACGTCAGCTGTATAATAGATTATGGACCTATGTATAGGGAAAATAATTTCTTTCGCTTAGGAGACACATCCATAATATGCAATGATCTTGCCTTAAAGGAAAAGGGCCACCTTCGTGAAATATGAAGATATCGTTGTTTTTCATTTTGACATTATTATTTTTCATTTTCTTTTTAAAACTGGTGCCAGAAGTGCACAATTCGCGAAAAAGTATTTAAAACTATTTCACATATTGGTACTATGTTGATACTCTCTACGGCACCTACTGTATGATGGCATAGCGATGACGTCACACTCAAGCCAATCAGCGTTCAGAAGACAGACTCGTCGGATTGTGTCAGATAAGGTGATTGGTTAAAGCTGAGCTGGTTGGAGCTGATTGGTAAAAAACCAAAGCCTCGCCGCGGGTGGCTGTATTGTCGGATAAGAACGCATTCCTGGGATAAGGACGCATTCCTGGCGTATTTTCTTTTGAAATTGCCGATAACTACGAATGGAGGCCGAAATCGGCCGTAAGGAGCCAGTTAGTTAGGTTTTCGGACACGGGCTACAAGATGGCTATCTCAGTTTCAATCCCCATGTTAAAGGTGGCCCTTTTCCTTTAAGTTCTAGCTCCCTGTGTAAGTATGTTTGTATGTGATGGTATGTATGCATGAAGATATGTATGTATGAATGGATGGAATCATGTATGTATGTATGTATGAATGGATGGAATCATGTATGTATGTATGTATGAATGTATGCATGTATGTATGACGTAATATGCATGTGTGTATGTATGTATGGTTGGATGGATGGATGGATGTAGATGTGCATTATGTATTATGTAATGTAAGGCGGAAAATTGGATGTATGGGGGCACTCAATCACGATCGCATCAAATCGTGTTTAAGTTCGACAACAGTTTCGTAATTGTGTAAAGTTTCAACTTGTGTACACCATAGGTACTATGGCGCTTTATTTATATATGCATTCATTGTCTTTTTCCTCTTTTTCTGTATGTTTGTGGCGCTTACATATTATGTAACTGTAGTGCGTTAAACCACGATAACAGATACGTTACCACCATTCTCGTTTTATAGGTACGGCTACCCCAACCACAAGACCACCTTTTGTGTGCCTGGCTGTCGGATGCATCTGCGAGGGCTGCCCCCATGGCTACAAGTGCTCCAGTTGCAACACGTTCGAGGACACCCCCGCCCCCGGACTGCCGGCGCCAATCACCAAGCCATGCTGCATTCCAGACCTTGACTACGACAGATACCCGCCGCTGATTAGGGAGCTATTCTGCAACATCAGTCTTCCAACATGTAGGCCTATCAATGAATGAACATGGCCACTGCATTGTAACTGACAGTGAAGCAAATCCGAGCATACATACATTGCGGTTTGTACCTATAGATGTTGACATACTGAAAAACAAAAATGGCTAACAGCTACGCTGGTTTCGCATAGTGCTAGAGCTACCGTCGATATACATAGGTCGTTAAATAAAATCATCTCGTCTTCTGATTTTCGAGGGCTTGCCGTTATTTATGCAAATACATATACACTGGTGACGTTTCTGTGCAGTTTATTTGCGGGAGTACAGAAGTGTGTATAATAGAGTACAGTCTCCACGCGGCGCGGCACTTCTCGCATCCCTCCAGAAACCATAACAGGTGGCTGCATCGACTGCCCTCATGCACGTCACCCCGTAAACTCCAAGACGACTATACACCCCCACGAGCCTCCGCATACTGGCAGCTACATGGAAAAGCGCAATGTTTCTCTGACACCGAGGACCGGGCCGTCGCTGGTCGGCGCGGCGGTCAGCTGACCCCCACCCCCCCCCCCCCCCCCCCCACCCCCTCCCGCTGACCCGGCCTCCAGCAGGGCCAGTCAGACCGAGACGGTCACATGAACGGCAACGATTCAGGACACATAAAATAACAAAACACATAATGATCCGTAGCCTAGCAAAAGACGGAATGAAATGCGACATTTCGAGGAAATCATTTTCAGTTTTTGCATGCCGACAAATAATACCTACTGAGGTATGTTTCATACAGAATACAAGAGGCGTCCTGTCTGCGCGCTGAAGAAGGCCGGTCAATGGTCAGGCATGAGGCAAGTGCCCTGCACGCATCAGCTACGATTAATGGCGACGATATCTGCGATGTTCATACACTTATATAGCTACCTTCTGTAGCTATATAACTTATGTGCACAAATATTCTTATAGCTATCTCACTTCTTTGGGCATTGCTATTGTTTGACTTTACCACGAACGTTCTTGTAAAAGCGTCCCTGTGTTATCACTTGTCAAGCGCTAAAATTCCCAATTTTTTTCCAAAGAAAGATAAATGTACCTAAGCCTTTACGTCAATGTCCATTAGATAATAGTGACTTGATAAATTATATCTGAAATAACAATATTAAAATCGGTACCTAGACCCACGTGCCCCCGAGGGAGATCAGGTTGAGCCCAAGTACAATAGGTAGTTATAATTTATAGCACAGGTATAGCATATACAGTTATAGCAATTTGTTGACCATTATGATAATAAATATCAATGATACCTAGGCTAAAAACGGTCACAGGTAGACATGCACATATATTTGTGCCCAAAGAGCCAAATAGTTACCTAGGATTATTAACATCGCATCGTATTTGTTACAACTACGCGTACCTATTGTACCTTTGCTTACTTGACTGCACAGTGTAGACTACCTACCTATATCAATTTTTTTTGTAACTAGTAAAAATACATACTAAATACTAATTATGATGAGTTTAGCTACTTCATATCAAATGGATCGACTGAGGCGAGAGAACAAGAAAAGCAAATGGTAAGTTCAAAAGCACTATGCACAGAAGATCGTTGTTTTACACATGTGCCTAACGTCAATGCAACGCCAATCGATAAAATGTATGCCACTTTATAATGTGTCGTGCACAAAAACATATAGACCAATGTTTAACCCTTGCCGGCACAGGCCATTTTCCGTCCTTCGACGGCACAAGTTGGTACGCCCCCCCTCGCGTTTGGCCCCTGATCGAGCTAGAGCTTCGCGGGAAAAAACGAGCGTGTTGCCCGTCACGAGAGGAAGCCGATGATACCGAATTTTAAGGTCCTAGGTCATCGGGTGACCTTCCAGGTCAGGTCAATGACCCGAAAACCGGGAAAATCGGGACCTGTTAGAAAGTCGTAAAGTGTGGCTGCTATGTGGTTTTCCGGGGTGCTGATCACGAATATCGTGTTAGTTTTGATCAGAGATGATGTCTTTAAGCATTTAGACCAGGTCGGGTCAGGTCAGGTCAGGTCAACCGGTAGGGGTTGTGACGGGTATTCGTAATACGTGTCAACCGCCTCTGACAGCTTCGCAACATGTTACGAAGGCACCAAAACTACTTCTTAAATGTTCAAATGGTTGCTGAATTCGAATTCAGCTCCAAGAACTAGCTTAGAAACATGTAAAACTCGAAAAAGTGAACCCAGGTCACCCGAGGTCACCAAAGGTCAATGACCTGACCTGACCTTCAGGTGACCTTGACACCCACCCTAATGTATGGGAGCAACATCAAATCACATGTTTGAACGTTTGAAACCACGAAAAGCTTGCAAAAGCGCGGCTAATGCGAGCCGACATACGCCGAATCGCGATTCTGGCCAAACATGGTCTCGGAAAAGAGGTCACAGGTCAAAGGTCAATTGGGTCAGGGTAGAGCACTTCACGGATAGGCTTTTTAGGATCCGGCCCGGCCCATATCCGGCAAGTCATATCCAGATCCGCCCATTATCCGCCTTTCTTTGAATATCAGAATCCGGCCCACCCATGGCCCGTATTGCAGCCAAACTTCCAAAAAATATCCGTAATAATCCGTTTCACCAATAACTGGTTTCACCCAAAACTGGACTAACAAATTCAATCTAAGGGACCAGACAGCCATACATCTCACAGACCATCATGGTTCCAAAAACCATGCTTATAAACCTACTACTACTACTATTACTTTAATCAAACCTCTGCTGCCGCTTAACACATTAGAATAATTTTTAACTTCAATGTTGAATGTTAAAATTTTGATCCGTTTTGATCCGGGTTCAACCTTCAATTCCCAAATCCGGCCCGCCCATATCCGTTCTTTTTTAACAAATTTAGAATCCAATCCTATCCGGTCCGCGGATTTATCCGTGGATAACGGATTTATCCGGCCCATGAAGTGCTCTAGGTCAGGGTCATGAAATTTTCAGGGTAGGTGTTAAATTGATCAATGCGAGGGTACTGAAAGTTTCGTCGCGATCGGCCGCTTTTTACGCGAGTTATTCGCGAAAAACCTTAGGGGGGTTGCATCAACCCCCCTGTGCCGGCGAGGGTTAAAACTAGCTATTAATTTACTGATTCCAAGCAACTTGCACTATCGCATGATCACAAAATAGTTCTCTATTTCCAAACGTCTACATATATGTAGATATGTGGTGCACGTAGTGACATACACACTGTTGTGGTGGTGGTGTCACGCGACTTCGCGCGCTGGGACGCCGCTCTGCTGCCGTCTGGGGGCCGTTCCACTACCGTGCCGCGCCTGGCCCTCCGCCGTTCAGTCGCTGCTGATGAGCTGCTGGAACGAAGTGCGGCGTGTCTGGGCGGCGCGCTCCTCGGCGCTCATGCTCTGCAGCGAGCGGTGCTGGTCAGCCACCGTCACCATGATGACCCCCCAGCCGACGCTCCAGAACCAGCCGACCAGGCAGAAGGTGAGCGTGTACAGCTGCATCAGCGCCACCACCAGGTTGGTGCACGTGCTCGCCCAACGGTCCTGCTTGGTCGTCTCCACCGAATAGCGAGTGCGACCCATGCAGTGCACGAGCAGGCCGCTGGCTGCCGTCCCCAGACCCGGCAGAAAGATATTGAGCAGCAGACAAAGGTAGGCGGCGGAGCGGGGCAGAACTGGGATGGCGCCGCGGGCCATCGAGGTGGTGTTCACCATGCTCGGGTCGAGCTGCGGGCCCTTCTCACGCAGGCTCTCCACGTCGCCGTCCTCCCGCTTCCGGCGACCGAACAGCCGGCCCGGGAACACCACCGGCACGCCGAAGATGCTGAAGGCCTTGGTGCGCTTCACGTGCGGCAGGACGCCCGGCTGGAGGCGGCTCTCCTCGCCCGCAGAAACTAGCGCCACGTCCGCCATGTGGATGCCGCTCGAGGAGCGCTTCACCGGCGACTTGGAGCGTGGTCGAGTCTCGGGCTCGCTATCCTGGTCGCTGGCGCTGGCGTCACTGCTGCGACGGCGGGTCCGCGACTGATCAGTAGTTCCCTCGGGTGTCAGAAGATCACTGTCGCGGGTGGCGTGTACCGGCACGCCGCGGTAAAGCCGGTCAAACACGCTGCCTCCCTGACGGCGAGCTGGGGCTCTTGGAGCGCGCTTCGGTACCTCCGTCGGACGCTTCTCAGGTTTCGGCTGTATTTTTCGCTTGTTGATGCGTTTCTTGGCCTCCTGACGTTTCACAGTTTCCCTTTCTTCCACCAGTGAAGTGCGCTCGCTGGTGGTTGCTGTCGGTTTGCCTGCGAAAAGCCTGTCGTAGAGAGAGCTTTGCTTGTCCCGTTTTCGTCCCGTCTTGTCGTCATTCGTGGTGTTGTCGGTCTCATCGCTCGTTTCTACCTCACTTTTAGCTGCCTTTTCCTTCTTTGCACGACTGTCCTTCGTAACAGTGTCTTTCCTTTTCCCTGCATCAGCATTGCCTTTGCGACCATTAACTGCCTGGCTCTTTTCATTTTCCTTGGCATCCTTCGCTTCCGATCCATCGTGAGGGGGAGCTCCACTCGCAACTGCGGCACTGCCATCATTCTGCTCACCTTTCGCCCCGGCTCTGACTCTGCCTGTTTTGGCTCCGTACAGCCTGTCGAATACGCTGCCTCTCGTCGCTGCGGCCTGTTTCGTAGACGTCCCCGGCATTTGACGAGGTGCAGGACGCGTTTCATCTTCGATGCTGATGCTGGCAACTGTCGGCTGTCTCGGCAGCGGCGGAACAAGTCTGGGCGGCGTCGCCGGCTTCTCCTCTGTCACACTGACCGTCGCAGCCACCGTGCGCGGAGCCGAGATCTCCTTGCTGGAAGAGTCTGGCTGGTCGTGCAGGGAACGGCCGCTGATGAGACGGTCATACAGTTCCTCAGCACGTGGCCGACTTGTCTCGTCAGTTGACGTTGCTGCCACCGCAGGCGGCTGTGGCCGCTCCTGCACAACACTGCTCCTGCCACGCGACCTCGTGTCCGGCCGCGACAGCCGGTCGAACACAGAGGTCCTCTGCCGAGCGGGATCAGCAGAGTCGCCGCCGAACGCCGTTCTTCTTCCGGACATGACGGCTGGCAGGCGAGGGACGGTCGGGGCACGATACTTGGCCCGACTCTCTGCCACTGGTCCGGCGCGCGACCGGCCCGGCAGCAGCGAGGCGAACACAGAGGACTCGCGCGGAGGCCGGGTGATGCGGATCTTCGGCGGCTTTGGACTGCGCGTCGGTCGCGACGACGAAGAAGCTGACGACGCTTCAGCAGAGGATGGAAGGAGCTGTTCGACGGTGGCGACGGTGGAAAGTTCTCCAGAGAATGAGACAGGCTGTTTACCTACGCGGTCATTTTGACTAGGCGAGGGGTCAAACTGCCCGGGTAAGGACACAGGCTGTCCAGGTGATAGGTCAGGCTCTTCGAGGAGAGTCTCAAGATGTCCAGGATAGGAATCTGACTGACTGGGTGTGCCAGATTGTTCAGGGGAATTATCAGCCTGAACAATTAAAGAATCTGGGTGTTTAGGTAAAGGAATAGGCTGCCCAGGTAGCAAATGAGGTTGAGTGGTAGTGACACTTGAATGGATGACTACGGAACCTGCCTGATCGGTGGAAAGGGCGGCGCTAGAGATAGAGGACTGGGTAGTAGGCTTCTCTGGGGTGTCTTCAGAAGATTGCTGTGAAGGCTTTTCAGCCAGCTGACTAGAGGATCGGGCAGAGGGTTGGCTGATGGGTTCGCCAGATGACTGCCCAGGAGAAAGATCAGAGGATTGATCAGAGGTTTCGATTAAGGACTGGTTAGATATTTGATTTAGCGGTTGCTCCGGTGGTGGATTTTGGGTTTTATCTGAGGTTTGGTCATGGGACTGATTTGAGGACGGATCTAAGGAATGAGAGGGCTGATGAGACGAGTTTTCCAAGGACTGTTTCAAAGACTGACTGGAGGACTTAGCTGAGGCCTGGTCCGGTGACTGAGTTGAGGACTTATCTGAGGACTGAGTAGGTAGCTGATCAGACGACTTTTCCGGAGGCTGCTCCAAAGACTTAGTAGTGGACTCACCTAAAGACTGGTTAGAGGACTTATCTGAGGACTGGTTAGAGGACTTATCTGAGGACTGATAAGAGGACTGATCCGAGGACTGCTCCGACGGCTCTGCTGACTTATCTGGAACGTGGTCCGAGGACTGGCCGGCGCGCTGGCCAGCCGGGCCCGCCGCCGCTGCCGACTGAAGGTCCCGTTCCGGCTGACCAGCACTGTCTCCCGCAGTGTGCCGATCGACTGGCTCCGAATCGTCGGACGCGCCCGTGCCAGTGGACACCATGGTCCTGGCGAATTAGCCGCACGATAACCTGAACAAACGACCGCTTCGACGAGCCCCGGTCGACACGCGAACTTCAGAGCTATCGGCCGTCTCCTCCGCCCCGAACGGAAACGTGTTGCTCCTCCGCCGGCGGCCGAAGCAGTGCGCGGGGAGGGGGAGTGTGGTCGTACCCCATCCCGAAGCAGAGTGTGTACCATGACCTCCGTGCGGCCGCCGTCCATAATCACCCACGGGGCGCGTGCTGTGCGGCCAAGTGCCGACCCCCGGTGGGAACAATTTGATGCCCCGGGGGCCTGGCACGGTCAGCGGCGGCGCTCGTTATGACCGACGATTAGTGTCGCCGCCGACGGCCGTTCCAGTCACGGCTCGCCTCCGGCCCTCGGCGGGGGGGGGGGAGGGGTGACCTGCAGTGTCTGGTGACGCACGAGGGCAACCTGTCCGAGCAGTGTTTGTACGACAGAATGGCAAGTCGCTGGCATGCTACGATTCCAATGGAGCATAGATTTAACTCCACCCATTTATAACCGGAACTTTTCTCAAGCAAGAGAGCGTCACTTGCACCCGCCCCTAGGTACAAATGATTGTTGTAGCACACGCAATTGTCACACCTTATCGTTGTATAAATATGACGTACCGAGGTTGAATTGACGCGACTTGTATTGGACAAAGTACTTTGAGGAAAGCCCCGCGTGAAAACCATGAGGAGTAACACTAGCGGTCATCACATACCTTATCAATCACACTGTAGTTAGATATAGTCTGTACTATATCAATCAACCACTATATGAGATAAATGCGTAATGAGTGAAGACCACGTAAAACAATGCCTACCACAGGGCGACTCATTCTTCAGGTCAATCCCACTAAAAACATGTCTGTCATAACATTAACAATCCAGCCTACTGCAAAAGTTCGGGATAACTCAGATCAACTTGTAACAAGCAGCCAAAGAGCTTTTGGGGTAGAAAATAGTAAATACGTTGCTGAAAGGCGAAAGCATCCGGCGACACTTCACTCCTAGGCACCAGCCGACGGACCAGAAACGTTAGCTGAACCTTCACATTGTCCAAAATATGCACGCAACAGATCGTGGGCCACTCAGAAGGGATTATGCACTGATAATATCTGGTACCAAATCACTCGCCCGTTACCTGACGTTACTTTCCTTTTTCTGAATCAAGCTGTCTTGAAAAATGACGCGATGATTTAGGGTCATTTATGAGTAATGTCGGGTATTCGTTGAATCGTCAGCTCGGCATTGTTCAAGTTTAGAAACTACATTACTGTCGTGACGGTAGGTTACCTTGCATTTGCCTGCCAACGACGGCGACAAACGTCCCTGGATGGCCGACATCCGACACTCTGAAAGCTTCCAATGAGTTCCTCGCGGCATCGGATCAGTTCCTCACGGCATCGCTGCAGTTCCCCATAGCATCGGATAAGTTCCTCGCGCTATCGCACTAGTCCCCCACAGTGTCGGAGCAGTTCCTCACGGTATCGCACTAGTTAGTCTCCCACAGTGTCGGATGAATCCCTCACGGTATCGCACTAGTCCCCCACAGTGTCAGATCCGTTTTCACGGTATCGCACTAGTTTCCCACGGCATTGGACCATTTCCTCGCGGTATCGCACTAGTTCCCGACAGCATCGGATCAGTTCCTCGCGGTTTCGCACTATAGTTCAGTTCTCCACGTCATCGCACCTGTCTCTCGAGACATCAGTGCAATTCCTCGCAGAATCCGAACGGTTCCGATCAGTTCCGGCTTCGGAGGAGTTCCGTCATCCTGTCGGACACAAACGGGACCATTCCGCTTAACCCCAAGACAGCGGAGCAGAGGCACTGGGGCACCTGAGTCCCTGACCCGTCCTTGGTTTGCAAGGGCGAATATAAGAGACTGCTTTATCATTACGCCACCCATAAAATGTACTCTGTCCCGTAAATCGTTATTCCGACTAATGGGTATGACTATTTAGAATGACACCACTTGACAGTAGTAGCAATCAAGTCATTTTCGTACTACTAGCAGATGTTTCCCGAACATGCTTAAAGGAAATAGTTCACTTTCACGAAATTATTTTTTTTGCAACGGATTTATGATTTTTTATGTTCAAAATAATCAGCAAAGAAAATAAAACCTTTTTATAACAAAAGATTATTTTCTATATTTTGATATAGGAAGAACTTTTCAGTTTCTGTAAGGCACACGCGATCCAGTATGAAAAGAGCATGGGTCCCGAAAATTCTTCAGAAACAGAGAAATTATCGCAGCCACCGGCATTTGGGCCATCTGCTCGATCTGATAATGTTCCCCTGAATGTCCTAATTGATCAGTACGAGAATTTCTCTAGAGTTCTCGTAGATAATTTCTCTACTTTCTGAAGAATTTTCGGGACCCATGCTCTTTTCATACTGGATGGAAATATATGCAAGGCACACATCCTCAACGCAAGACACCTTTTTCGGGACGAGAAATAGAATATCTTTGCCTAGGGTGATCGTTGGGCTGTAAAAGCTCCTGATTTATGCTCGTCTCAGCCAAAGCTACGGAACTGCTATTCCAGTTCAAAACCCATGTTAAAAAGTGAACTATTTCCTTTAAGTAATAAGCAATAAGCGTATCATTATCAGTATTGTCATCGGCTGCTGCCTATGTCTCACCTTCGTCGGGATCCTATGGAAACGGGACCTGCAGAAGCTCTTACTGGTTCTGTGACCGGAACAGGTACGGCAGTAGCTCCCACTGGTCATTCCACGACCTTTTTACTCGGCTGTACTCCTCCCTCACCCGGTCATACAGGAGCAGTTTCCGCACACTCTTGTTCCATAGGGTGGCCGCCGCGAGGAGCTCACTCCTAGTCTCCTCACCCAGACCGTCCTGCAGCTTGGACACGACGTCGCGCAATCGAATCAGTTCCAGCTCACGGCGGCACTGGCTTAGCGAGTAGGGAGCGGTGTAGTTGTCCTTGAAGCTGGCAGCGTACTCCTGGTCTTTTCGACGCCACCGGACGAGTTTCTGTGGGCTGGAGTGACCGACGGCCCGCAGCAGCAGGTCGGGCTGCAGCAGCAGCTCAGCTCTGCCTCGCAGTGTGTCCAGCGGTGCCGTCATCCCGGCTGGCCGACAGTCGGTCGGGAGCTGAAGCTGCCTGTTCCACCAGGCGAACACCGCGGCAGTGTCGCCCAGAAGGTACTTCAGGTCTCGGTCGGTGAGAAGAGCCAGCAGCGGCGCGGCGTCCAGGGACACCAGGTCCTCAGCGGGAGTCTCTCTCAGCTCACCGAGGTGAGAGTCACCCAACTCCTCACTTTTCTCATCGCAGGACGTTCCATCGGATGTCAGATCCGTCTGATCCACCACCATCCACGCCATGAGTAGGAAGCACTGCTGTGTGTACAAACCAGAGTCTCTTCTGAACACCCGCTGTAGGAGACGATGCTGTCCCGCTGGCCCCAGTGCGGGGAGGAAGTGGTTGTGCCAGCTCTCCCAGCACGGTGCGTCCAGTCGGTACAGCGTCCCAAAGAACACCGCATTGCGCACCATCTGTCGCCCCAGCCGGCGGCGTAGCTCCAACTCCGGAAGAGGTTCCAGGTCTCCCTGCATCAGGACGTCCAGAGGTAGGGCTTGGACACAGCGGGTCAGGAGGAGGCGGTCTGCGTGCTCCCGCATGCCACGGACCGCAGTGATGATGGCCTGTAGATCGTCCCAGGTGAGTTCCGCCACAAGGTTAATCGCGGGCCAGAAGAAACAGGGTATGGCGCCAGCACTAAGGTGGTCCTCCAACCAGTTCAGAGCCATGTAGACGCCCTCGCTGACTCCCGTCCACACCTCACTCCGGTTGTCCTGTACTAGCCAGAGTACGGCATTTTTGATGAAGTACGACTTTAGCGTGCGTTTGTCGCTCTGCTCAACAGGCATGCTTTCTTTCATGATATTCTTCATGCTCTTCAGTGTGGTGATGGTGGCGTGCTGCACTGGACTGAGGAGGCGGACGGCCACCACCTCTGCTCTGGAGAAGGACACACGCCACTCTATCATCTCGGTGGCGCTGCCGGGCATGCCGGTCGGCACCAGGTGCACGCCGAACCGACACATATCGTCTCGCACCGCTCTCGGCGGAAACTCTGCCTGGCGATGCCGTCCTTGGAACTCCTCCTGATGGGGCCACCAGTTTTTCAGACGCTGACAGGGAACGTGATCCTTTCCGCCGTTCCTGTGCTCCGGCTTCCTGAAGTTGACCGCCGGACCGGGGCGGGCAAGCTCGGCGCCGGTCGGGTACAGGATCTGACAAAACTCCCACATCAGCGTTCTCACCGACTGTGCCGACAGAGCCGACGCCGCCCGCTCGTGTTCACACCGGACCGTGGGCGTCCAGTGCAGGGTGACGAACCCCGGCCGGTCGGTGGGCCGAACCCACAGCTGCGGCGCCTCGCTCAGAGACACCCGGCTCGGCGGATCCCGGCTTACCACTGCTGACTTTGCCCCGAGATCCATCTCCAGCATCACATCATGGTCGGAGACAGACTGACCACCAATCACCCCATCGTCCAGTCCTTCTGCCCGACTGCCCGAGCGGTTAAAGCTTACCACTCGAGGTTCCCCTCCAGGACGACACAGCCCGCACAGCGCCGCCTCCGCAGACTCCCGGTCTAGTGGAACGGGCTTCTCTCCCACTCTGGTGGTCTCCTGCTCCTGCCTTTTGGTGATCTGGTCGGCTCTGGAGGCCTGCCATTGCCTTGAAGCAGGCTCCTTGTTGGTCTGTAGGATATTCTTTCTGCTATATAGGGTCTCCGCTGCCTTTTGCCGCTCCCTCCTGCTCTGTCGGTTCATCAGCGTCTCCATCAGTGGCCGGCTGATCATCCAGAAGATCGCGTCTTCGAGCTCTTGCTGCACTATACACGCCTGCAGGGCCGACGGCTCCATGGTCAGCAGGTTTTTATCCAGAAGCACGGTGTCGAACAGCAGACGGCGGCATGCTGAGTCAGGACCGAGCCGCGCCGACAGCAGATCCACCGGATCACGGGCACCGGACGGCTGGTCCTCCCGACCTCTGCCCGGCTGGTCCGCCCTGTCACTGAGCAGATGGTCCGCCTGGTCCTTCCGGTCGGCCCGGCCTCCGCACGGCTGGCCCGCCCAGTCACTGCGCGGCTGGTCCTTCCGGTCCGTCCGGTCACTGCCCGACTGGTCCAGCTGGTCCTCCCGGCCACTGCGCGACTGTTCCTCCCGGCCACTGCCCGGCTGGTCCTCCCCGTCGTTGTGCGTATCACCCGGCGACTCATGAGCTGCTCGCTGCAAATGGTGACTCATAGTGGCTCATATTTCGCTACTTACGGACTACGGTTCATGAATGCTCGTAAAGCATTGGCTCGCAAGTCGCAGGCCGCAGCTCACGGATGAATCACAAACCAAACATTAGTCATTAATGCAGCATAACCCACAGTCAGCAGCTCAGGAGATTTTTGACACTTGATAGTTGATTTACCGTAGCGTGTTCAGTTCCACAGTGGCCCATAACTCAGCATCCATATAGGCATCTCTTATTAGTTATTTCTTGCCTCAAGCCCAATCTTTTGAGTGATGCTGGATGCATGACATTCTACCGCGCAGGCTTCATGGGAGAGGCAATCTCAGATGGAGGCGAGACTTATTGCGCAATGCCAGACATCATCACTGAGTCACTCACATTCCACACGTCACTCACGTTCAATCAGTGAATAATTCACTTGCGAGCTGCGACTCACTAATCACACGTCACTCGCCGAAACAACACCCTTCCCGCTTCGCCGATACTCTCTGCACTCAGCAGGGCGACTGTCCGGTTGCAACGCCCTTGGCCCCTGCTAGCCGGCCGAGAGGGGGCGGGAGCGCACGGGTCAAAACATGCACCGAGTCCAACACCGCAGAGCAGCCAGCGCCCAGCGCCCTATCGCCCTTGGACCGCGGCCACATGCACCGCGAGACATAACACCGCCGCACAGTGTATGGACCGCCCATAGCGCTGAGACATAACACCGCACAGTGGGAACAGGAACACCACTCAGCCAGGGCTGCGGAGCCGGAGTCGGAGTCGGTCGGAGTCGAAAGTTCTGACAGGAATTGGGTCAGAGTCGGAGTCGATTTTGGAAGTCGGAGTCGGAGTCACCGAAAATTCATAGACTCCGTAGTCCGTAGGCCTGCCTGACGCCTGTCAGGCCCGCAGGCAGAGGCGGATCCAGCTGAGTTTTTTTGTGGGGGGGGGGGCAAACCATAACAATTTATCGATTCTTTCCATGCATCGTCCATAGGCGTAATGTTAAAATTATGCCGTTTGGGGGGGCAATTGGCAAATGCCCATTTTGCCCCCCTGGATCCGCCACTGCCCGCAGGCCTACTGAGTCAGGGCTGCGGAGTCGGAGTAAGAGTCGGATTCGATCGGAGTCCACAGTTTACCCGAGGGGTGTTCACGGGCACCGCACACTGCTGCGTGCGGTGTGTGCGGTACGTCCAGCAGGCGTCGGGGTAGGGGATGGGTAGGCGGCTCTGACGTCACGGCTGCGTGCGGTGGACGGTCCGCTGTGGCCAGTCCCGACCGGCCACAGCGGTCGCTGTGTGCGGTGACGCAAGGCTGACATAAGGACGCAGTGGGCGGAGCTTGGAGGCTGTGTGCGGTCCGACCGCACACAGCCTCCGTGAACAGCCCTCCGTAGGGGAGAGCGGGGTGAGTTGTATCATGTCCAAGTTGTATCAGGGCGAATTGTGCCAAACTTATCCAATGGATGGCGCTCGCGACACGACCAGCCGACGAGGTTTTCCGGGCGCCATCTTTCCCTGTTCTGTCTTGTGGCTGAGTGGACGCGTCTCGAGGTGAGAGCCGATTTTATGTTTTTTTAATGTCATTCTAAAAAAATAAGTTGCAAGAAAATGTGTGTTCTGGGCATTTAGATGTGCACGAATTTGAAAGATCTCCGTAGCGGTGGTGAGGGTAGGTTCTAAGGCTGCGTGAGTGAAAACGGATTTCTCCAGCTGTCCGCTGTTTTTTTAGCACGAGGATGTTTTTCCAAGATGGCGGCTAGGTACATGTTGTATCAGAGCCGGGTGGGGTATGTTGTAACATGTATGTATGTATGTATGTATGGGTATGTTGCTTTTGATCGCGAAAGCTAAGCCCTGGCTCGCGTTTGTAGGTAGCTAGTCAATGCTCGTTCCATTTCGGCACAATGTGTTGGCTTCTTTGCTCTTAACGGGCCACTTTTGCGTCTAGTCTGTTGATGTTTCGTTCGGATTGCATTGACCTAAGTTTGGTCTAATAAAGTGAAGCCTTTGAGCATACCTATACATTGTATTAACCCCATTTAATGTTGTTGTTATGTTCAAAACCAGTAGGAAGCACACTCCCTGAAACGTGAAATAGTGATACAAATTACCCCACCATGTGATACAACTCACCCAAGCCATGGGGCAAGTTGTATCAAAAACATTGTTCTATTCGGGAGACCGTAGAAGAAAAACTGGTAGAGGTAGCGGAAAAGTTACTTTGCACAAAAAAGCAGAAGAATCAAGGAAGGGGATAGTATGGAAATAATGAGTTTATCACGGATAGTTACGAGGTTATGGGTCTCGGAGTAAAAACTGATACAACCCACCCCACTCTCCCCTAGTCGGTGACGGTGTCGGAGCTAATTTTAGGAAGGTGGAGTCTCAGTCGGAGTCACCAAAGTCCCATCACACTCCGCAGCCCTGCCACTCACGCACATCACAGATTGTTTTGGTCACAAGATCCCGGGCCCTGTTTCACCGCCCGACGCTGCGCGCGCTGCAGCGCGCTGGGAGCTGAGGCGTACCCCTGACGTCACTCGAATGACGTTGCGTGCGATCCGTTAGCTTATGATGAATCGCGTTTGGAACAGAGGTCCTAAAGAACCAAGTATAAAGAGAACAGAGGTTTGAGTGCAAATGCTGCTAGCGTGCTGATGGTGCTGGCGCTTGGGTGCGAGCGTTTTGCGATGACGTCATAGCGTAGCGTCAGAGGGAAGTTTGTTGATATTGCCATGGATACATGGGTGAAACTTTGACATCACCATTGGGGTCCCAAACCTCCAAGGGGGCCTCCATTTAGTGGGGGCCTCCAAGCAATTAGGGGCCTCCAATTGCGGAAGCGGTAATTTACGAACCACGTCAGGGCCTCCTCGTAAGAAATTTTCACTGGGGGACCAGAGGCTCAGAAGGCAAACCTAGGGTACTCCCAAATCCAGTTTTCTCATTGGATTTAGGCCACTTATTTTTCGTCACAGCCCGGATGCCATGATTCTTTTTTAATATTAATAAAGAAATGGTAGGTCACCTGACCTTACTCATGGATCCAGGCCAGCAGGATGACATTGTATGTGAATATCCCCCGCGTCGACCGAAATCGACGAAAATTTCTGGCTTTTTCACTTTCGACAATAAAACAAAAAGCCTTTATTATAAAAAAAAGAATTTAACGGCACAGCATTGCGCAAGGAATCTAAGCGACCCCAGAAAGTGTGAGGGTGAACCCTAGCCTAGCCCGCACCTGGGGGGAGGGTTGCCACCCCCAAGTTAGTTTTTTCTGCTCTACACTGAACATTTTTTAAGCTAGAAATCTGATTTTTGGATAGCTGCTTTTCTATCTTTTCTCAGCGTCCATTGAAAATTTCAAGTTTCTGTGGCTTTTGGGTTTGAAGATATGATCTTGTTCTTCAGGTCATGTCATGACCTAAATGACGGATACCCAATATCTTGCGTTGGCTATGGGCCTTGTGAGCTTTTGAGGCACCTTGATGTCGTTTTTTTTTTTGCCAATCTTACCTCCCACCTATCATTGAACATGATGTTCTGCCGTCTGCGATGTACAGATGTCAGGGCCAGGGTACGTCAGTAGTAGTACATACACAGACATACACACTACACAGACATACAAGCACATATCATTGACCTTGACCTAACTTGACGTGAAATGACCACAGCCAGCAAATTAGTCGGATAGTGTGACAAAGAGCTGTTCTAGCTGGCTTGGCACCAATATGGCAGCGTCATCGGTATATGATGGGTTGGCCCGCTGCTTGTGTAGGTATTTTATTCGACATCACCACAATTTATTCAAACAGAATTTTAAGCTTCGCAGTCAAGAGCAACATATTTTTTTGGGAAGAGACGAATCCAATGATACCAAATTTTACCTCATCAGGCAGTCATTGACCTTCCAGGTCAGGTCAAATTAAAGAACGTTGCTGTTTGGGGTCACCGTTGCCCGTTGGAATATCACGTGCGCTGCTCATCATATACCGATGACGCTGCCGTATTGTGGTGCCAAGCCAGCTAAGAACCTCTTTGTCACACTATCCGACTAGGTTTTTGCTGGCTGTGGTCATTTCAGGTGAACTAAGGTCAAGGTCAATGATATGTGCTTGTATGTCTGTGTGTGTCTGTGTGTATACTGATAAGTGCACCGATTATGAATGTGTCCCTATAGCATGAGATCATGAATTGAGAAACTTTTACCAAATATACAGTCAAAGAAACTTCACGAAAGTAAATTCAGCTCGCCTAAAACGCAATTTTTTTAGATGACATAGGTTGACGTTGACCCTGACCCTAGCGTCTCCACATCATCGAACAACATGTTCCATGATAGGTGGGAGGTAAGACTGGCAAAAAAGGCCGAAATCAAGGTGTCAAAAGCTCATAAGACCCATAGCCAACGCAAGATATTGGGTAATTGTCACTTGGGTTATGACATCACCTGAAGAATAAGGTCATATCTCCGAAATTATAACCACAGAAACTTGGAATTTTCAATGGACGCTAAGAAAGGATAGAGAAGCAGCTATAGCTATACGAAACATCCGGCTTCTAGCAATCAAAATGTTGAGTGCAGAACAGAAAAAAACCCTGGGGGGGGGGTGGCAACCACTGCCCCCCATGTGCGGGCGAGGATTAAATAATTTGAATATCAGGAAAACAATTTATTCAAACAGGTATTCCAACAGAGTCCCGCTTTTTTATAGGTGACCTCCGATTTGTGTACCTAGCCTCTAAGTTGCCCAGGGGGCCTCTTATTTGTAGGTACATGCAGTACAGAGAGCCTCCTACTTCGACTACTTGCACAGAGAGCCTCCTTTTTGTACATACAGCTAAGCTTCTACAGGTCGAGCGCTGGCCTCCTATTTGTACGTACAGAGAGCCTCATACTGTTACAGAGGGCCTCCTATTTGTCTAGGGGGCCTCCTATAGGTTAATGGCGCCTCCTATTTGTCCAAGTGGCCTCCTATTCGTCTAGGGGGCCTCATATTTGTCCAGGAGGCCTCCTGTTTGTCCAGAAGGTCCCCTATTTATCCAGGGGGCTTCTATTTTCCAGGGGGCCTCCTCTTTATCCAGGGGGCTTCCTACGTGTTCAGGGGCCTCCTATTTGTCCAGGGGCCTCCTATTTATCCAGGGGTCTTCTATTCGACCAGGGGTCTCATAATCGTGCAGGGGCCTCTTATTTGTCCAGAGGTCTCCTACTTGGGCCTCCTTTTTTGAAGGGCCTCCTTTTTGTTAAGGGAGCCTTCTAATTGTTCAGGGGCCTCCTATTCGTACAGAGGGCCTCTAGCTCCTACTTGTCAATGGGGGCTCCTATTTGTTCAAGAGGCCCCCTATTTGTACAGGGGGCCTCCTATTTGTCCAGGGGGCCTCCTATTTGTCCAAGCGGCTGGTATTTTCCTAGGGGGCCTCCTATTTGCCCAAGAGCCCTCCTATTTGTCCAGCGGGCCTCCTACTTGTTCAGGGGGCCTCCTATTTGTCCAGGGGGCCTCCTATTGGTTAAAGTAGCCTCCTATTTATCCAGAGGGCTCCTATTTTTAGGGGGCCTCCTCTTTATCCAGGGGGCCTCCTTCTTGTTCAGAGGGCCTCCTATTTATCCAGGGGCCTTCTATTCGTCCAGGGGGCCTCCTATT